GTATGCACAAATAAATAAATCTTTAAAAAAAAAATCATTGCTTAATTTAAGGACATAAAAACTTACACCAACGCTGTGTCTAATAGTTTTAGAATTTTAGTTCTTTCATTTGGGTCCTGATGCACTTTTTTTTTTAATACTTGCATATAGTATGTGCATGGGTCAAATTTCATTATTTCACTGTTGGTATCTGTTTGTAGTGCGACCATTTGTTGGAAAGACTTTTTTTTTCCCTATTGAATTGTCCTGGCACCTTTGCTGAAAATCAATCTCATAGCTTCTGGAGTTTTTGTTTTACATGAGGAATTTGTCTTGGCTTAAGATATGAAGTATGAGTTCAGATTATCCTCCCCCCCCCCCAAATGGCTACCAACTTTTTCAATATAATTTAGTTAATGATAATTTTCTCCCCTACCAATCACCCCACTGATTTGGATGCCATTTTAAAACATAGTTTTTTGAGTATTTGGAGTCATCCCTTGAATACCTGTTCCATTCATTGATAATACATTTGCACCTTTATCATCCTTTTCTAAAGGTCATCATTTTAAAATACATTTCACTGTCTGATAGGACTGGTTTCTTCTTACTTCTTTTCTGTTTAAAAAAATTTTTTGGGCCCTCCCTGGTGGCACAGCGGGTTAAAGCACAGCACTGAGAATCTAAAGCGCTTCCGCATGAGTTCGATTCCCGCCTGCCCCGGAGGAGACCACATGGCGAGCCAGACCTCTCCTGACCCGCCCGCTGCTCCCCCCAGCAGTGTACTTCGTCGATCTGCCTGTTCTGCTCCCCACTCTGTCTCTGGTGAATCCTCTCACCCTCCGCATCTCTGGCCTGTACCCCAGTTCTGTATGAATAAATAAATAAATCTTAAAAAAAAAAATTTTTTTTTGGCCTTTCCTTGAGGAACCGTTTTACTTAGTAGCATATTGCCCCAAATAATATTTCTGCTGCATCATTTAAATTGAGAACATAGACATTTAAAGGTTAATTTAGGAAAAGCTCACATACTTCTGATTTTGAGTCTATTTGTTTAAGCCTCCATTTACTTTTCTTTGTGGTTTTCAGCAGCATTTTGAAACTGTCTTAAACTAGAGAGATAAATATCTTGTTGAATTTACTCATAGATTTTCTTTTATTTGTTCTAATTGCTGTAGTCTTCTATAGTGTAATCTATGTTCTTTTCTTTATTTTTTCTCTTTTGATTTATTCTTCCATTGTTTCTTCTAACTAGCAGTTGATGGTAAAATTGTGAAGAAAAACTGGACACAAATGAACTCTGTTTATTTTTTTAATCCTTTGTTTCTCAAGGTTTAAAAATAGACATTTAGATGTTTTCTTTCTACTGTACAGTCACTTTGTTCGCAGTTGGGAGTTGCAGTGTTATTTGTAATGCATACAGCAAATTTGAAATCATCTATCACTTAAAAAATATTTTTAACTAAAGAAATATATATATATATAAGATTTATTTATTTGTGCACACAGAATTTGGGTACAGACCAGAGGCTCAGGGGCGGCGAGAGGCTTCACCAGAGACAGAATGGGGAGCAGAACAGGCAGATCTACGAAGTACACTGCTGAAGGGAGCAGCAGGCAGGTCAGGAGAGGTCTGCCACGCCATGTGGTCACCTCCGGGGCAGGCGGGAATCGAACTCATGCTGCAGTGGCTTCAGCTTCTTAGTGCTGTGCTTTAACCCGCTGCGCCACCAGGGAGGGCCAAAATATATATATATTTTTAAAGATTTATTTTATTTATTGATGCATATAAAAGCTGGAGTATAGGCCAGAGATGTGAGGGAGTGAGAGGACTCATCAGAGACAGAGTGGGGAGCAGAACAGGCAGATTGACAGAAATACACTCTGAGTGGAGCAGTGAGCGAGATAGGAGAGGTCTGCTGCACCATGTGGGTCAGCTTCCTTGTAGGAGATGGAACTCACTGTAGTTGGTTGTGGAGAGCTTCAGAGTGTTAAGACTTAACCCCTTGTGCCACCAGGGAGGCCAACCAGGTACTCTATCCACAGCGGTGGGTGGGCAGTGAATTCACATGAGCATTGTGGAATAGAAGATGATTACCATCTCTCTAGGGATAAGGGTTGGCACTAATGCTGAGATGGGGAGAGGGGTGAACAGGTCTCTGGGTTCTCCCTGCTGAGACCCAGGAAGACATTCAGCATGCTCATTCCCACGGCAGGCAGCCCAATTAGGAGGGAAGGGCCTTCCCCAGGGAAGCTGGGCCCTCTTGACAGTGGGAGCCTCTGTGGCCTGCACCGATTTAGCAGCCCAGAAACCCAGAGACCCAGCCATTGCCACCAGCTTTAACCTGGACTGCCCTACTTGGTAAATTTTTAAAAAGTTGCTAGCTAAGCCTTTTTTTAAAAATGAAAATTATATTTTATTAAAAATTATATTATTTATTTTATTGTATTTTATTAACAATGATTATAGCTGTTCCATTTCAGAAAATAATTAGAAAATAGAGATACAAAGAGAAGGGAAAAAGATCATCAGAAGGAAGTGAAACATTGTTCTCACCTTGGAGGGACATTTATTTCAGATCTTTATTGGTATAAAGTTGATCCATATAGAGTTTCTGCAGGATATATGGATTTGTACTATTTATGATGTCTTGAGCTTGTTAAGCCTTATTTTCAAAGGCCTGTTTTACCACTCAGATTCAATTTTACCTTAATCAGAGTATTTTGGAAACTAGGCAGACATTTTATGTGAATTCTATAATAGTTTTCTTCCTCTTTTGTGAAGATATAAAACAACAAGAAGGTGTCAAAACATAGCGAAATGTAGCCCCAACAGAGAACATGATTCTATCAAGAGGACTGGGAGATTCAGAGAGCAAGTAAGAAATGAAAGTCTTCATAACCCAGAGCGAACTATTCTTGCTTCACAGAATCATCGAGGAGGATCGGAGCTGCTGTGGGGGAAGTTCCAGCTCTAGAGTCTAAAGAATGCCTTACTTTCTTTCATGTAAAATGGAACAACAGTAATTCCTACCTCATAGAGAGTTGTTAGAAGGATCAAATACAACAGGATTTATCAAAACATAATCTAACCCAACAAGGTACAAAAATATGTTATTAAAAAGGCAAAACCATTATGAACTATTAGAACCAAAAAGACTGATAACATTTAGTTTTGTAACTTTTTGATGTTGAGGAAATGGAAAGCTATTGTTTGCTTATATTAATGTACTGAATAAAAAAACCCTTAAATATGATATTGAGGAGATACTTCTGTTGCTGAGCACTGTAAGTCTGCTCTGGGATGATGACAGTGAGTGGCTTTCCAGAACTTTGCAGGGATAATATGGTTGTGATGTCTAAGGACATCTTTCAAAGGGCCATGGAGCTGGAAATTTGACTGTCTTTGGAGTGAGATGCCATTTTTTTTTAAGGTTTTTTAAATGTGTGCATACAAGAACTGGGGTACAGACCAGACCTGCAGGGTGGGACAGGTTCACCAGAGATAGAGTGGGGAGCAGAAAAAGCAGATCAACTGAAACACTGCTCAGAGGAGCAGCAGAGAGACAGGAGAGGTCTGCTGCACCATGTGGGTCACCTCCCTGCTGGAGATTGACCTGGTGCTGCAGTGGCTGTGGATAGCTTTTAGTGCTGTGCTTTAAACCCTTGTGCCACCAGGAAGGGCCCAAGATGCCTTTTCTTACTGTGCCTGCAGGTCATCTGCGGTATGCAGGAGGCACCATGTTTATCCATGGGATTCTTGACCAGCTATCCCTGGTTGTCTTCTCTCCTATCCACTTTGCATATCAAACCACACTGCAGGGAAAGGAAGTTATTAGTGACAAACTTCATACCACCTGGTGTTCTTCCTCCGGGGTTTTAAAGATTTATTTATTTATGCATACAGGAACTGGGATACAGGCCAGAGTTGCTAGAGGTGAGAGGATTTACCAGTGACAGAGTGGGGAGCAGAACAGGCAGATCCACTGAAATACACTGCTCAGGGCAGCAGCAGGTTAGGCAGGAGAGGTCTGCTGTGCCATGTGGGTGGATCAAAATCAGGTCACAGTGACTAGTAATAGCTTGATGGCACTGATACTTAACCCCTGTACCACCAGCGAGGCCCCATATGGATATAGTTTTTCAACCCCTGTAAGTCAGGGACCAACTACTGGTTCCTCAAGCTAGAGCAAACCCATGAATCTTTCTGAGCCTCAATTTCATTTTTAAAGCAGAGAAAATAATATTATCTGGGTTGTTTTGGTGATCACACTGAGGAAAGTGCCAGAGAAAAATAAAGTGCTGCTATTTCTATATTTCATTTACTCTGGGATGCCAGTGCCTTGCTAAGAGGCAGCATTTTAAAGATCACTAAGAGAGAAGGAAACCCTGTCAGTTACACCACAACACGTTCTGTTTCTGCACATCAGAAGAGCTTTGGGCACATGTTTATCATAAACCACTTCTGTGCATATGTTAAAAGGAACTGCAAGTGGACATAGATTTTGAGGTATTCATAGTCACAAGCTTAGTCCCGTTCTGCTGGCTTACCTGTTAGCTTCAGTTAATGACATCTGACTCCAACTGTGCATTCAAGAGCCATGAGATTGCAGCATCAAATGGTGTTTCAGATTGTCTTCCTTTCCAGCCTCTCCAGCCAGTCCTGCCTAGTCAGCAGACCTGTACAGTGTGTCTATTTTCTGCCCAGAGTTTGACCGGTTTAACACAGGAATTTCAGAGGTCTTCACGATTGTGAGATATTCATGTGTTAGAACTCATGAAATATAGTGGGGTCAACTCCATCTTCTGCCATAGATTTGGGCTTGAAACCCTTTGCCTTTTTTTAGAAACTGCACTTGCTATTTGCAGAAACTGCTGGTGGATGATTTGCCTAAAATAAAGTCTTGTTGCTACAGGATAGGCTCTTCATTGACATGAATCAATGATAAAAAGAGCTGTATGTTTCTGCATTTACCTACTCTTTTTTCCCCTTCTGTTTCCTTTCTCTTTTTCCTTTGAAGTTCTGGAGGCCAAATCTGGCTCCTGAAAAACATCAAAATCCTGCTTAGCAGCAACGGCCTCCCAGGGTTGCCACAGAAGCCTGCGGCCACCCACTATGTGGAGTGGAATGGCGCCCCGTGCAGGTGCACTTTCTTCATTGCTGCTGCTGGTGACCACTGCAGGTAGGAAACACACCGACGTAATCAGCTGCCTGTCAAGAGCTTCCTGTCTTTAGCTTCAGCAACTCAGATCAACTTGAGGAGTTGAGGGTGCTGTGTGTTCACTTTCCAGTAGAATTTTTACATGTATGACAAGCAGCCCTCATGCATGAGTACTTGCCTGGAAACATTTTCTCTTATTATCATAACTATTTGGGGGGAAATAAAATCACATTTCATATAGACTAGGAGATTGTATAGAAAGAATTGCATAGTAGATCTTTTTGGAAAGTAAATCAAGCACCATAAATTTTATTTTCAAATATTTTTTGTTTATAGTGGACATACCCTGGCATAAAATCCTTGGTAAGGGACCTTCCCTGGTGCATCGTAGGTTAAAGCACAGAGCTGTGGAGCTGTCCACAGCCACTGCAGCGCTAGTTCGATCCCCGGCCAGGGAGCTGATCCACATGACACAACAGACCTCTCCTATTTCTCCCGCTGCTCCCCTCAGCAGTGTATTTTAGTGGATCTGCCTGTACTGCTCCCCACTCTGTCTCTGGTGAATCCTCTCACTGCCCCTGCTCCTCTGGCCTGTGCCCCAGTTCTTGTATGCATAAATAAATAAATCTTTAAAAAAATAAAATCATTGGTGATCATCGTTTCTGGTGATACTTGCCACTGTCAGGCCATGCCCCCTTGAACTTACCATAGACTGAGAGTACAGATATGGCCAGGAAACTGATTTTATGTCCAGGGTTTGTCATAGTGTGGTGTAACCATAACAACTTTTATCTGATAGCGACCCTTGTTAAAGTTCGGTTTTCTTTAAGGAACTGTACTTGTCAGAAGTGCAGGGGTGAGAGGATTCACCAGAGACAGCGTGGGGAGCATTATAGGCAGATCGATGAAGTACACTGCTGAGGGGAGCAGCAGGTGACACAGGAGAGGTTTGCTGTGCCATGTGGGTCACCTCCCTGTCTGAGTATCGACCTCATGCTGCAGTGGCTACAGTTAGCTTCAGAGTCCTGTGCTTTAACCTGTTACGCCACCAGGGAGGGCCCCAAAATTTGGATTTCTTAATACCCATCTACATCTACCAAACTGATACTGAACACCAGCCTCAGTATCAACCAATAAAAGGAAACAGAGTTTGAGGAAAAGGAATGTGTTTAATTTGTTGACAAATGAGAAGGGCAGCGGACCCAAGTCTGAGAGACTACTCTTTGGCAGGGTGCATGGTTACTTATACAAAGGGAAACAAAGAGGGGAGATGGGCAAGGATGAGTAAAGGGACGAGGGGAAGAGTTGAGCATGGAGACAGGAGACAGAGATGGATGGGTGTCAGTTTGCTTTCTTCAACAAATGCTGTTTAACTCCCTTTTCCTTGGAATGCAAGAAGGTATGGGAAATTGCGAGATATAGGGGAAAGACAAACTTGTTAATGTTCATCTGAGAGCCCAGTCATTTTGTTTAGGGCAGGGAGAGGGGCATCACTGAACCCCCAAACCTGCCTGCTATACATAGGTTCTGCCATCTGCCACATCAAGACAAAACATATAAGACTTTCAGTAGAAAGGAACTTTAATACAATGAGTATGCAATACAGTAAAGACAAAGAATAGAGTTTCTAAAGCAAACACCTGAAGTTACCCATCCCCTTGTGGGTAAAAGTCTACACAAAGGGATTGGTTCAAAGCAAGACCTGAAAGCCTGTCACAAGACCAAAGCACCTCAGGGTGGGTCCCATAGAAAAGGGTGAAAAACAACCAGACAAGTGTGGGAGGAAAAGAGCCAAATCAAGATCAAGGTCAAAGCTGCCACTGTCAACCTCCCCATCGGTCTCTCACCCACATCTCTTTCAATGAGTGCAGGACCAAGAAACAAGAGCTGCTTCTTCTCATGTCTCTCTGCCCCCATATGTCTTCCTCAAGGTCTCCTCTGGCTTTCCACCCTGCTTCCTTTTTCTTCAGTCTCCTCTCTAGATTCATCCCACCCAGCTCAGCTCCATGTCTTTTGGGTGGGGCAGGGAACCTGGAATCTCCCCCTTTTCCTGGGGATCGCCCTGTTACACTTCAACAGTGTCCAGAGTCTGACTTCCTATGTACCAGCTGAATGGATCTTTACACTTACCCTGCTGGGACAGCTGGGATTGGTTAGTTAGCTTATCATCGATTTTATTGTCAAGATCGTTGCAGCAATTCTACCATTGACCTTCACATCCATAAGGAAAAGTCTACAATAGTATGTACTTTTGCCATGGAGGATTTGGGAGATAAAGCTGTGTATTAGTGGAGGCTGAGTAGAAAATTTGCAAAGGAGACATCACAGGACCAGAAACTGGCTCAACAAAGCCTGAAATTGGAGGTGGAGGTAGAAGTGGTGAACAGTCATTAAACAAACTATAGAAAATTATAGTATCCAGAGGCACAGCCTGGAGGTGGGGATATGGAGATTTGGGTCTTTGTGAAGGAATCTCTGGTACTTTCAAGTCTACGGGGTAAAACCAGGCTCTAACCCTAGAAATAATTAATTTAACAGCAGCTAATGATCCCACAAAGGGATGAGCCCTTTCCAAAAAGAAGAAGGATGTGTCAGTGCAGTCTCTGGCCTGGCAAGAGGCAGCTGCCCTGCCCTCCTGTGTCCGTTCAGGGGCCTCTCTGCCCTTTTAATGTAAGTAAATATCTTTGCCTCATGGAGAAACTTGCTGCTTGCTACTGAAAGGGGAGTTCTGATGACACTTTTCTCAGAGGTCACCCAAGGATGCTGCTCTCTGAACCAAATGCCTCTCCAAACTGGCCTCATACTGCTGTCATTCCTGGTCTGTAAGGGATCGCACACAAAAAAACAATGAAGAGACTCCAGGTACAGGACCTCTGATCGTTAGAAAAAACTGTATGGTTCACACCAACCTCATTCTGTTTTATTTTGATCTTGCAAGGATCTGTTTCTTTACATTGAAAATAATGACATTATTTTATAGTTAGTTGTAGGTTAGTTAACATTAAATTACTCTCAAAATCATGTATATACAGATGGTACTTGTATCAGAGACAAATGATCACCTTTTAATATTAGTTAACCTAGAACTTAATTCAGGTGTAATTAAGTGCCATTAATTTCTCAGTACTAACTAGGAGAAAACTTTTATGATCTTGATTTTTTCGCCTTGATACTGAGAAAATAACATTTCTTGTTTTCACTGTTTTCAGTCAAAATGAACTTAAGTGTTTTGGGCCAGGTCAATAATAAAGGGTAGTAACTTCTTTTAAAAAAATCTCAGCTAAAGAAATAAAATTCAGCTGAACAAATTTTAAATATTTCATCAGTTTTATTCAATAATTCATGAATGAAACAGCATCCAGTCTAGCAAATTAAAGGAGCTAGAAGGAACTGTACAAAATGAATTCTATAGGCATAAGCCAGAAAGAAAAAGAAAAATACAGGATGGTTTCACTCATAACAGGAGTATAAAAGACTGGGGAGTGCGGGGAGGAAATAATAATGATGAACAATTATATACCAGAGACATTTTATGGGGATGCAGTGGGGAATGGGATCAAAAATGGGGGGTGGGGGAGGGCGGGACTACACAGGACTATGGTGATGGCACACGGGTGATTTGGTGATGGGAAGCCCATGGGGATTACAAATGAGATGGCAAAAAAAAGCACAAAATGATGTAAAAATAAACTTAAAATAAAATAAAAAATAAAAATGAATTTTACAGGCAGAAGGAAGCAAGAACAGGGAAGTTATACTAGCCAAAAACCAAGTTGATATTGCAATGCCACTTTCTTTTAAGGAATGGCAGGAATCTGTCAGGCTGATTAGGTGGTTCCATTCCAGGGAGTGTCAAAACAGATTGTCTGCTGGGAGATGTGGAACTTAGCTTAAGTGACTCCATTTTAGGTCTGCTGTCTTGTTTCTAACTGTATTTATATCTAAATAGACTGGTTGGGTGATATTTTGCAGAACAAAGCAATGATCCACCTCTGAGGTGTATGGAGGTCTCCAGTCTACAGAAAATTGCTGTGAGTTGTGAGTTGCAGACTCCTGCTATGCAGTTGCCCTTTCCCAACCTGTAACAATCTGCTTGCCTCAGAATCAGTTTTTACCCTGTACACTGGTTTCTATCATACAGTTTTACAGGTTAGCTTTTGAGTTTTCTGGTGGCCAAAGATAGAAATGAAACATGATTGCATAATAGGTGGTCCCCAGGAAAAGGGGAGGTTCCAGGTTCCCTGTTCCACCCAGAGGAGGGTGAATCTGAGCAGGCAGGAGAGGAAAGGAGACTGAAGAGGAAGGAAGCAGGTTGGAGAGCTAGAACGTGGCCTGAGGGGGGCACACGGAGCAGAGAGACAGGTGAAGAAGCAGCCCTTGTTTCTTAGTCCTGGACTGGGTTGAAACAGATGTGGGTGAGAGACCCATGGTGGGGTTAACCATGGCAGGATTTATTTTGGTTTTGATTTTACTCTTTTCCTCCCAGACTTGTCTGGCCATTTCTGACCCTTTTTATGGGTCCCTGCCAGTGGTGCTTTAGACTTGTGACGGGCTTTCAGGCCTTGCTTTGTGCCAATCCCTTTTGGGTGGACTTTTACCCACAAGGGGATGGGTAACTTTGGGTGTTTGCTTTAGGAACTATATTCTTTATCTTTTCTGAATTAGACCCACAGTCAGACAACCCAATTCACATTGGGGTTGCCCTATACCAATGGCTTTTATGAATTATATTATTGGAAGGTGATCTAATAAATGTTCAAGGCAAATAAAGCATAGCCTGGCATCTGTGTTTGAAAGTAACTTCTATCTTGGATCTTTATTTAAAGGCTACTCAGGGAGGTAGTGGTATCTTTACAAAAAAGTCAGTATTACTGAGAGTAGAACTGGGAATTGGAAATGATCTGTCTCTCTATTCTACAATCTTTTAATTCTGATGAGAGATGCTGTTATGTTCAAACTGTAGCTTCTCTAGTTCCACATGTCCAAGATTAAGCTTTTTTTTAGAAAATAAAATGCAAAATTCTATCAAGGTGATTTTTAGAGGTATATTTGCACTTGAGAAAATATTTCTGTTGAATAAAACTGAATGGCTAGCTCATTGATAGGAAAATGCTTTATCTTATCTAATTCCTGTTAAATCGGGCCAGTTAGATTTCCCAGTAGAGTCAGTGTTTGGCACTGAGTGATTTTTAAACATTTATAACAACCACAGTGTGTATCATTAAAAATAAAATAACTCCTGTACTATTCTTTTAAAACTATAAGAGAAACTCTCTTCCTGAGAGTTAGAAGTAATTTCTGTCACAGTGAAAAAGAAGTTATTACAACAACGATCAGTGATGGGTCTTTGCTAGGAAAAAGACCTCATGCCATGCTCGCCTCTGTAACAGAACACTCACACAGTGCTTCTCGATTTATTTTTGTTTCCGACCTTGACAGACACTTTTGTAGACAAATAAAAAAGCATTTAAGGAAAGTGGTCCTGCCTGGGCTTTCAGGCAATGGCATATTGCTGTAGACGTTTCCACAGCCTCAGTTCCCGTCCTTTTGTCTCAGGCTGGTGCCCATATTGCTGCCTCTGCAGAGCATGCTGGCATGTGCTGGCGATTGAAGCATTTCTAAGTTATCACTTGGACTTGATGAAAATGGCTTGGATTGAACACAAGCTTATCTCTCCTTTGATGATTTCCCTGTCCACTGACATGTCATAAGGAGAGCCAGTGAGATTAAAAAATTTCAGTGAGCAAAAATAATGGATGTTATTTCTAGAGTAACTTTTAGAACTGAATGATGAGTAAGGAGGAGCAAGATATTATAAATAATATGAAAGCCATGTACAGGAGAAAAAGGATGCTTCTGCTGATAAAGTGGAGGAGCATTGCAGGAAGTGTGTGGAAGGTTTGTTGGACAGGGGAAGAATGGAGGGATGAAAGAATGAAAGTGTAACAGGCTGGTCCCCAGGAAAAGGGGTGGTTCCATGTTCCCTGCCCTACCCAAAGGAGGGTGAAGCTGAGCAGGTAGGAGAAGAATCTGGAGAGGAGACTAAAAAAAAAGGAAGCAGGGTGGAGAGCCAGAAGGTGACCTGAGGGAGGCACATGGGCCAGAGAGATGTGTGAAGAAGTGGCCCTTGTTTCTTGGTCCTGGACTGGGTTGAAACAGATGTGGGTGAGAGACCTGTTGGGAGGTTAACCATGGCAGTTTTTATCTTGATTTTGGTTTAGCTCTTTTCCTCCCAGATTTGTCGGGCCATTTCTGACACTTTCTATGGGATCTGCCCTGAGGTGCTTTAAGCTTCCGGGCCTTACTTGGGCCCATCTCTTCTGGGTGGACTTTTCCCCACGAGGGGATGCGTAACTTTGGGGGTTTGATTTACAAACTATATTCTTTGTCTTTTTGTGTTGCACACTCATTGTATTAAAGTTCCTTTCCATTAAATGTCTTATATGTTTTGTCTTGATGCAGCAGATGGCCCAACCTATTCATAGTGGGGCAGGTTTGGGGGTTCAGGGGTGCCCCTCTCCCTGCCCTGTAACAGAAGGATAGGAGGGATAAGTGTGTAGACAGTTATGTTCATGGATGCTGGTAGGAGAAAGAAGAGACTTCCTCTACCAAATGCTGATTTTTGCTTGCCGGATGTTGATTGCTGTGTTTCTCTTGCTCATCGGAGCCCTCCTTGTTCGTAGGTTATGCCTGTGCACAGTGCAGCAAGGGGAGGACTTATTCCAATGCAGTCATTTTACCTAACTTGGAAACTACCAGAATCATGCGGGTGCCTGAAACCATCTCGGTAGTGGACTGCACAGTTGCTTGCTGTGACCTGTCCAGCTGTGACCTAGCCTGGTGGTTTGAGGGTCGCTGTTACCTGGTGAGCTGCCCACACAAAGACAACTGTGAACCTAAGAAGATGGGCCCCTTCAGGTCATACCTCACGTTTGTTCTCAGGCCTGCCCAGAGGCCCACCCAATTGCTGGACTATGGGGAGATGATGCTGAACAGAGGTTCCCCCTCTGGCATCTGGGGAGATTCACCTGAGGAAATCAGAAAGGACTTGCCCTTTCTAAGCAAAGACCAGGGCCTTGAGGAAATGTCTGAGTACCCGGATGACTACACTGAACAGGAGAAGGACCTTGTCCAACCAGTCAGCAAGCAGGGGCCCAGAGAGAGTGCTGAGTACATGGATTGGGGCTTGTTGCCTGAGGGAGGTTTCAACTCCTCTGCTGGAGAAGATGCTACTCCATCAGCAGAGACCCAGAGGGAGGACACTCACCTGCAATACCTAGACCTGGAGCCCCGTAAACTGAATGAGTCCACGGGGACCCGTGTCTCAAAACACTCTCCAGAGGGAAGGCTGTTGCTTCCCTCTGTGACTCCATCTCCTGTAGAGTTTTTGGAGAAAGAGACTTTTCAGCTCCAGGAACAACCCAGCACCAGCTCTGGAAAAGAGGTGAGTGCAGCTCGTATGTGTCTGGGAACATGGGGGTGCGATTGGGTCATTTAGGCTGTGGAAACACAAATAGGTTCCACTGGTGGGAGCAACTGTCTTGGGCATTAGCAAGAAAGATGACTCTCTCAAAGGCTTTCAGGAAACAAAGCATCTAATCCCTCTGCTGTGCTCCTTATGGCCAGGGTGTTGAAAAGAACAAATCGTTCTTTTGCCTTTCAAAATCAGTCACCTAATGATGCTGTGGGGTTTCTCCTTTGAGATGCTTTTACCTGGAATCAAGGTGGATTTTGAGAATTTTGGAGAAGTGTGTGCACACAGCACAAGGTGCATTTTACATAGCCAGGGGTTTTGAAAATTGTATGAGATTTCTTCAAGACCCAGCGGATACTTAATTTGCTAGAATCTCAACAGTGAGACAAATCAGAGAGATACTAATGTCAACCTGGAGTTTAGGTGGCAATGAAAAAAACACAAATCACCATTTATTTGGGATCAAAGAATTGCAATATAGGGTACACCGATTCTGGTAGGAAACGTCGAATGTACCTCTGGGGGGGTGGAGTTAGGGGTGGGCTATGGAATGAAAGGAGGAAGATGAGGGAAATGGTTAAAGAGCTGATTAGTGTTCACAGACTTAAACTATATTTAACAGTATTTAACTGGGTTTTGATTCTTTAAAAAGGTTGGAAAGGGTCCTGATTAGACCAAAAGTTGATAATTATCAGTTCTCAAACAATTGTTTGCTTGATGTTTTGTTAACCAAGAAACTTTGGCCTGGTTGAGCTAGGACAAGGAAAAGGTATGTATTAGGCACTGTACAACTTTAGCCCAGAAGACACAGACCCAGTGTGCCCTTTGGTTGTGAATCAGGAGCACATAGTTCAAACTCAGGTCTTTCATGCAAATTAGCATTTCAAGTCTGTCCAGTGCTGAGTGGTGAAGAGTTCATTAATCCAGGATACGTCAAGCTTCAATTCTGGGTGGCCTTTGGTGGGTGAACTTGATTTTAATTTCTTTCTAGAAGTGGACTTGTCTTCTTGTACCTGGGGGCTCAACCTGAATAGCCTCTTTATTCTTTTGTGTTTGAACACACACACACATATATATATGTAACATATTTTATATATATATATGAAATATGTTATATATATATATGTATGTATATATATATATATATATATGCTTTTGGCCCAGTCCAGAAGTCTTTGGCCCAGTTCAAACATGACATGATGCAATTTCTCTGTAATGGCTCCCTGGCTTAGTTTTTTTTTTTAAGATTTATTTATTTATGGGCCCTTCCTGGTGGCGCAGTGAGTTAAAGCACAGCACTAAGAGGCTGAGGCCACTTCAGCAAGAGTTCGATCCCCGCCCGCCCAGGAGGTGATCCACATGGCGTGGCAGACCTCTCCTGACCGGCCCGCTGCTCCCCTTGGCAGTGTACTCCATCTATCTGCCTGTTTTGCTCCCCACTCTGTCTCTGGTGAAGTCTTTCACTGCCCCTGCACCTCTGGCTTGTACCCCAGTTCTGTGTGCACAAATAAATAAATCTTAAAAATATATTTATTTATTTATGCAATACAGGAGCTGGGGCACAGGTCATTGGTGTGGGAGTGTATGAGGTTTCACCAGAGAACCAGTGGGGAACAGAACTGGCAGACTGACTAAGACACACTGCTGAGGGGAGCAGTGGACCAGACAGGAGAGGTCACAGTGCCATGTGGATCACTTCTGGGGCCAGGAATTGAACTGGTGCTACAGTGGCTGCTGATAGCTTCCTAGTGCCATGCTTTAACCCATTGTGCCATCCCCCTGGCAGTTTTTAAAATGGGTTCACAAATGCAACTTTTTACAGGGAGAGAATATAAGACTTTGTCAGGAAAAACACATGTTAAAAACGAATTGGAGTCCTTGGGAGAGTAGACATACCAAACAGGGGTTAAGGTGTTCATGACAGAAGGTCAGGATAATAGAAAATGAGATTGCACTAGAGAAGAGACTAGTTGTGTTACAGGGCACCCCAATGTGAATTGGGTTGCCTGTCTGTGGGTCTTCACCCGTGCGCTTACGATTCAATCGTATTATGGACACACTTCAAAAGGTTAAATAATGGATTTATTTATAAGGAGAAAGGAAAAGGGATAACCCAGGGAAAGAGGGAGAAAAACACAGGTTAACTAGGATGTCCTACCAGTTCTGCTGACGTGGACTCCACCGGCACGCTGAAAACCGATTGAGCGCCAAAACGATCAGCTGTGAACCACCAGGCCAAGCCCCCCCAAGAGCCCACATGTCCGGTTTTATCCCAACCTGGCTGCTCAGCTCCGCCCTCACGTCCCTGCGTGCTTCTTCTTGGTACTGATGGGATTTGGAGTTCCAGCATGGAGTGGGGGCAGAGTCCGTGAAACCTGTACCTGTTACAGTTGGAGGATGCCGAGACTACTCATCTATGAAATGCAGAAACTTGAAGAGAATGATGAGCCTGTGTATTGCTAGAGTTGTGCATCTGGAAATGAAGAGACAAAAGTACAGGTCATGGGCAAACATATTCGTGTTTTAAGATATAGAGGGAAAATCAGAATGTAAAGGGACACGAGCCAATTAAGATATTTAAAAAAGAGAAATTTCTTTTGAGGTTTCAGTGCTTAAGTTAGAATAAGTAAAGAAAATCATTAAATTTACTATCTATTACCATCTCAGCACTAAAATGTTGCTAAGAACATTGTTTAAATGGTGAGGTTATCAGAACCCTTCTGTTTATGGTTTTCTGTACTTTCTAAACCTTCTTGTAATTTATTTATTTTTACATCATTTTGTGCATTTTTCCATCTCAGTTGTAATCCCCGTAGGCTTCCCATCACCAAATCACCCATGTGCCATCACCATAGACCTTCTTGTAATTTTTTTAAAAAGATTTTTATTTTTATTTATTTATGTATAGAAGAACTGGAGTGAAGGCCAGAGAGGTGGGGGTGAGATTTACCAGAGTCTGAGTAGAGAGCAGAAGTGGCAGATCTACTGAAATACACAGCTGAGGGAAGCAGCAGGCAAGACAGGGGAGGTCTGCTATGCCATGTGGCTCAGCTCTCTGGTGGGGGAATTGAACTCATGTTGTAGGAGCTGGTGGTAGCTTGATAGTGATGAGACTTTAACCCCATTGCCACCAGGGGGCTTTCTTATAATTTTTGTGCTCTTGATATCTTAAAAATGTAAGAACTCAATAAAAATAAATGGAAATATTAAAGGTTAGCATGTTCTTTTCTCATATCAGTGAGTATTAACATAATTGACCTCCTTCATGCTGTTAAGTCTTTTACTTTCTTGTTTCTATGTAACTTATTCAAATCAAACTTAACATATGTTTTTGGTCTCCTAAATTCTTTCAAGTTGGCTACACGACAGTTATATAAAAGGGTAAATAAAAAGGTAAAATGAATCTGCAAGGCTGCTGAATTGGTGAACATAAAATGTAGAATTTTGGTATAAGGATTACCTGAAGCTGTTTTGTTTTGTTTTTAAAGCTTTTTTTTAAAAAAAAAAATTTATTTATTCACAGAACTGGGGTACAAGCCAGAGGTGCAGGGGTGGTGAGAGACAGAGTGGGGAGTGACAGGCAGATCCACGAAGTACACTGCTGAGGGGAGCAGCCAGAGGGTCGGGAGGGTCAGGAGAGGTTTGACACGCTGTGGATCACATTTGGGCTGGGGATCTAACTCACCCTTTAGCGCCTGTGGCTCGCTTGCAGTGCTGCATCCCAACCTGTTGTGCCACCAGGAAGGGCCCAAAGCTGCTTATTTTTTTTTTTTTTAAGATTTATTTATTTGTGCATACAGAACTGGTGTACAGGCCAGAGGCTCAGGGGCGGTGAGAGGCCTCACCAGACACAGAGTGGGGAGCAGAACAGGCAGATCGACAAAGTACACTGCTGAGGGGAGCAGCGGGCGGGCCAGGAGAGGTCTGGCACG